ACGTTGGAATAAAATTAAGTGATCACACGCATGCAAAAAGGATTACACACAAATACAAATGCAGTAACCAGATTTACTCTCAATAAATCTCACATCGATCATCACTCAACCCAATGATGAGATTCGTCTAACCTCTCTCCTTATCTTTCCTTTTATTATCATTTTTCAGGGCAATCTATTTCACCGTGTCTAATTTTACCACAATCAAAACACATTTTATTTTTCGCACTTGCCTTAGACCTGTGCATGCCATCAATACCAAATAATGACCACAAGTAAAGTATAAATATAATTCACAAAAAATGATCAAAAAAACTTTCCTAAGGTCACATGCAATTCTAATTCACAAAGAATTTTAGGCAAATAATTCATAGGTTTAGTAATAGGCAATGGTTACCCCTTCATGGTAACCCCAAACCTAACGTTACCCCACGTGATGACTTCTAATGTGAAAAGTAAATATTACCCTACACAATTGTTTAAACTGTAACAATAAAAAGTAGAGAATATGACACCGAGCGGACCACATTTGAAGGTCTGTAAATATCGAGAAACGCGAATTCACAACTTTAGGATCGTTACTATCATCATAAAGTCACCAGTAATCACAACAACACAAAACGGCATTTGACACCCGAAAATCGTCCAATTTTCATTGCATAGCTCAAAACTAAAATCTAACAACGCCGCAAGGTTCGCATCACCATCAGCAACATTCTATCTGTTGAAACCATCGTTGGATTCTAAGCCACGCATCAGGCGTTGGCCACCTCCAGACGCGCCTCCACCTGCACAGTCCACTGGTGGTCACCGTTTCTTCAACAGGCCAATAGTTTGGCCGAAAGACACCAAAACAGATCTGGCCAGAAATTTTTCAAAACTAAATAGTTTTTTTTCCTGTTTTCTGCCCTTTTTCAGATCCATTTTTGGCCATTTTTCAATCAATTTTGGCACCCAAAAATCATGTATTTCTCGACAACACAAGCTCTGATACCATTTGTCGCAAAAATTTCTCGAGAAATCTTGATTCTGGGCTCAGAAATCAATAAAAAGAACACCAGTTTCCTCGACTCAATCCAAAACTTCTATACTGGGTTGCCACAAGTTTCACTCCACAAAGGAGACTATGGTGGTGGTAAATGCACTCCACAAAAGAAGGGAAAGATGAAGGTAGACACCCAAAAATACTCCAATCTCTCTAACTCCAAAGAAAACCGACCGCCTCCCTCTTTTCTTCTTTTGTTTTCTCTATTGCATTCTACATACACACAGCTGCTAAAGGAGATGGATGTATATAAAGCCAAACCACTTAGGTCACTCAATTAGGCCAAGACTTATGCAAACGGGTTGCCACTTAACCTAAACTAATGGGCTAATATCCAAGTCCAAACTTACCACTAAATGGTCCAACTAACCAAAAGACCATCCAACCCAAACTCAAGCCATCCAAAAGTATAGGTCTTCTTGGTATCGATAAATTATCCAACAACTGTTTTAAATCATTGCCCGAATTTATTGGGTATAAAAAACCAAACAGATAATTCCATTTAATACATTACAAATTTTAATACTCTACAATTTAAATTTTTCAAATTACATTTGAATTGACTTGTCATTAATATATAAAAAATAAATTTAAATAAAATATGTGGAGAAATTATTAAATATTCATTAGAAAAAATAAAATAAAGAATCAAAATTGAGAGCTTGTTAAAATGTATCGAAAAAATTACTCTCTAAATTTAAAGAAGCTCTCTATTATGCATAAGATACTCTTTATAAATAGAGAGTCTATTAGAGATACTCTAAGGCAAGTAGCTTCTCCAGCTCTTTCATAAAAAATTACTTTTTATCACATTGGCAATCTCTTTCATGCTAATCGTCCTCCACTGAACTTTCGATAGAATTATTTAAAGCGGATCGGGCATCATTACTAGATGAGATTCAATTTCTAATGCCACCTTCTTGACCTGTAGTTCCTCACTTGATGATTTCCACTCCTCTATTTCTTTTGCAGACACTGCTTCAGCATTGCCTACGATCAAGTTTGCATCATTGGCGAAATCCTAAGAAAAGTAAAATCGTTTAATCTTTCAGCTTCTATATAAATGGAGGTAATAAAGGAGAAATTTAAATACACGAGAATACATCCAAGCTTGGAGATGATTCAGCACATAAAAGTACAGAATAAGTTAGACTAATGAGTTGTCTCGGAGAGAGTTAATTGTTCCGATGGCTACTGAACTTAGATCCATGTCTTTGATTGGTCACTAAAGTTTAAAATGTCGAGTTTTGGTCACTAAACTAAGGTCAATGTTTTCGATTGCTCATTGAAGTTTAAAATGACGAGTTTTGACCACTGAATTTTGAAAAATATTGTACATTATCATTTAACTTTAAAAAATATTGAATAGGTCAGTGATCAAAACTCGACATTTTAAACTTCAATTACTAATCAAAGACATGGACCAAAATTTAGTGACCGTTGGAACAATTAACTCTCTCGGAGAGTAGCGTTCGCTAATTTTGTTTTAACTGCTTATCATCTTAAATTGCATTTTTGGAGAGAAATGTTGATTGATCATTGTAAGAGAAGATGTAATGTTGCTGAGACACATTGAAGCACCTTGCTTACAACATAAATGCTTCAAGCTTCAGCCGCCACCATCAAACATACACCAAAAACCCCCCACCCAATTATTGCCCAAGAGCTGCACGGTGAATAGCCGCCACCACCATTAAACTTACCCCCAAAATTGATCGGTTGATTGTTATAATTTTGAGGTGAAAATAACTCCATTCTAGTTTCGAAGCCAATTTTATTCGCGAAGGAAATAGAAGAAATGGCAAGTTCTTAGTCTCAGTCAATGCTAGGCTTTTATTATTACTTATTGTATCTATGGGCAATAAAAAAAAATGGGTAAAAGATTTTGATTTTTTGGAAAATTTTGTTCAGTTTTGTAATATAATTTTACAATAGCCAGTAAAACTGATTTAGTGCAAGGACGATGCGTATATAATTCGATTTTTGGCAATGGGTGTGAGAAGGAGATGTTGCCGGCAGTGGTGTGTGATTGGTCTTTCGAGGTGGTACCGTTGATAGGCAGTGGTGATGGTGGCTAATTTTAGGGAAAACAGAGTGGGACGACGTCGGATGGGGTGGGGAGGTTGAAGAAGACGACCCTTTTTTAATTTCTTTTCTTAGTTTTTTAAAAATTTTAATTTTTTTCCTTATTTTTTTATTTTTTTGTTCAATTGATTTAATATGTTAATTATCAAGTTACAATTTTAACCTTTTTTTTGTCAAAATTTATTTTTCTTGGTCAACTAACAGTCAAAACCATCCATTTGGATCTCTACTATTTCTGAAAGGTTAAGGATCTTCGCTGACACAAATTGAAGGTTAGGATAAATCGCAAAAAAGTGAAAGGTTAGGGACCACCGTTGCTACAATTTTTCCAAAAAAAAATGAAATTTGCATAAAATACATGCCACCATATTGGCATCAATATGCACAATAATAATGTGGATCCCTCGGATTCACCAAACTAGCTAAATAGACTTGAAATACAAATGTATCTTACATCTGTTTCACAATATATTTGCATTCAAAATCTTGTTTTTCTTAGCGTGGGGGTGAGGTGGTTGAAAAATGAATATAGTGAAAATTACAACCTTACCTACTTTTCAAGATTTTCCAGAATCATAGTGAATGTTCAAAAATCAGATATTTTGAATATTAAATATTATAATACAAATTTAATTAACCTTATTTTCATTTTCCTCTCTCCCTACATCTCGCCTGCTCGCCCCTCTCTCTTCCTCTCTCCTTTCATCAACTCAAGTAGCCGATGATGAAATTGCTCCAGTCGACACTTCCCCCCTTTCCCCCCCCCCCCCCCCTTTTTTTCTAAGTGGAGCGTGGTTGGCAGTTTGGTGGAGGTGGAGGTGGAGGTGGAGGTGTACGGTGTGGTGGTGGCGCGGTACCGTGGGTGCAGTGGTGGTGGCGATTCAGTAGTGTGGTATTCAATTCTTTACATTCAATTTTTGTTTGGTGGCTGTGGTGGTGAGGTGATGGTGGTTGTGGTTGTGGGTGACTGATGGTGATGGTGGTGGTCACTATGGCAACCAATTGTGATGGTGACTGATGGTGGCGACGGTTGCTGTGATGATTGATGTTGATGGTGATGGGTCGCTGCGGCAACTATGGTGGTGGCGTCGTTTCTCTATTGTGGTGATGAATATGTTCCTATGTTGTAGCGTTGACACGTTGTCATGAAGTGGTGGTAGCTTTGTTGGTAGCGGTGCTTTGTTGTTGTGGTAGCGATAATGGTGATAGTGATGATAAATGTGGTGGTCGTTGTCGGTGGGAAGAAATGTTGGATGCGTATGATTAATTATTTGGTTGATTGTGACTAATAATTGATGAATTTGTAATATGTAACCTATAAATTGTGATTGTGACTCACAATCGATTAAATTGTGACCGAACAATTAATTTTGACCAATTAATCTAACAATTTGCAATGAATATATGAATTGTGACTAATAAAAATTTTGATTCTCTGACCAATGAAACCTATAAAAATTTTGATTCGTGACCCAAAAATTATATGTGACCTATAAAAGTTTTGATTTGTGACCGAAAAGTAAGTTGGGAACAATAAGTTGATAGGTTGTGACTAATTTTTGGATTTGTGACCGATGAATAAAGTGTAACCTACAATATTTTTGAATTGTGATCGTAAAATAATTTGACATAAATTTTCTGATTTGTGACCAAAAAATAATAAGCGATTAACTAAATCATTAATTTGGAATCAAATTGTACAAATCTGTGACCTAAATATATTTAACTAATAAAAGAATTAATTAATTAAATAAATCATAAATGAATTTTAATAAAAATCTGATTTTTTAAGTTTGAAACTTGTTTTCTTGATTTTGAAACATGTGGTACTTAAACTCTATGAAATTTTCCCATGAATATACAACAAGAATCTGATGAACATATACTATGTAACCTTCAATTCTCAATTTTAGATAATTTCTTGATCATCAAATGGGACCATGTCTTGCCAAAATAAATTAAATGGGACAATCACTATAAACAACACAAAATATGCTGCTGCAACAATAGCTTGACCCAAATATGGATGTCGACTTACCCAGACCGAGCAAGTTCAACATCCTTGACAGTAGTTTTGCCGACTTCCTCCTTCAGTAATCTAATTTCCTCGTCAGTCAAACTGGTTTTTGAAAGGGGTGCTACCTTGGAGTTAGCCTGCTTTTCAACCTCAACTGCCCAACTATAAATAACCATGCCAACAACTGCAATAAGCATCCCCATAATGTTCTTAAAAGTCAGCTCGGAGTCGAATAGCAGCCATCCTAATGTGAGGACGGCCACTGTTTTCATGTGGCCTAAAACTTGAAAGGAAACTGCTGAAAATCGTCCAATGCAAAGATATTGGCTCACGTTGCAGAATACAGCTAGAGAACATGAAAGGAGTATAAAGAACTGCAAATATTGCCAACTCGCATCAGATGAATAGACAACTAATGACTACTACAACTACAGTGTACTAAACATGTAAAGAATCTAGACAAGTGAGAAATAGGTGCTTACGATGACTCCACTAGAAAACTTGTAGTCCAAAATTAACTTTCCAGAGAGGTAGTAGTCCAGTATAGGACCAAACACAAGAAGAGAGCCAGCTTGAATAGGAGCGGTTTTGCTCAACAGTTCAAACGATCCAATAGAGTACTTTTTCTGCAGAGAACCTATTGACTGAATCAAAAGAATAATTGTCCAATCAAACATCTGCCTGCATAACATGGGAGAAGAAGATTTTTGAAAGAATATTATAGTAATGCTTCTTTTTTCATGGGAAGGAATTATATATATATATATTTTTTATTTATTTATTTATTTATTTATTTATTTTGTTGGTGTGGCCACTTATTATACACACATTGAGGGACCCACAACTACTACCTCATCCAACATTCATTTTTATCTGTTTATAATTTGAACCGTTTATAAACACTTTCCAAACATGCTTTTAGTCTTGGCACAAAGATTCTGCAAGATTTTGATGAAGCTTGTACATAAACTGGATTAGGATAGCTTCCCAGATTGAGCAGGATAAGTTCAACCGAATGACTGATAAGGTGTAGTATGTAGATCCACCAATAATTACTATAAAAAAGCATAATTTCTAAAAAAATCTATATTTAACATGCTTTACCCATCCACTGAACAGTTAACAAATACATCTGACCACACGACATCCAAATATTAACACTATTCTGAGAGGAACTGGAAGCCATGACAAAATCAGAATTCATCACAGGCTACTTAGAAGCTTTAAAACAACTCAAAAAATTGCATTGTATGTTATCTTGAGAACCATTTTAAAATTTGATAATTGGCATCAAATTAAACCAAACCTTTCAACACATCCAATATAATAGGTATAGAATTAAATATACTCACAATTTGCTGCAGTGACGTGGACAAAACTGCAACACAAGCGCAGAGAAAACCCTTGGCATTAACTTTAACATCAGTTACAGTGCAAACACCGACACCTATAACCACAACCACAACAGCCATCTTAACTTCCTTTGCGTAATGCTTACTGTGAAGAATCCATTCCATCACACAGACCACAGGAATCATGCTCAGTTTTGATATCTACACCAAAAGTACAACAGTACATTAGCTAAATCCAAAAGGTAGTGATTCCCATGCAAATAACAAAAAGGAAATATGGCATCAGTTATTTAAAGAGTTGACATCTATGAGGGAATTTTACAGCTTGAACAAAAACTGTCAGTTCAGAAGAAAACTTTTAGTTCATTTCTCAAGAACTCCAATTCCAACTAAAACAATTTTAACATTGTTAAAACAAAATTAAAAAATAATTAACCACAAATGCCAAAGTTAAACTATTTATGAAAACAAATACTAAATACTAATGATTGTTGACTGAACATGCCTGTATCATCAACCTCAATATGGAGAGACATTCTGCAAATCTCGTTTGTCAAGAAGTTTGTTAATGGTAATAATGATAGATTTCTTCAGAAGCTTGCTTCATTTTAATCAGATTTTTTACTCCCTAAAGAAAGGGCAAAAATTTAATTGCAAATTGATAAATCGATGGATGTCATCAAGTTTCACCCATCGTGCAGCCAGGTCTGTTTTATTTACCAGTAAGACAATGTTTGTGGTCAATACTTCAAAGTAGGTCCAACAAGAGTTGGGTAAGAAATGAAAAGAGTAATTAAATTGCCAAAAATATATATGGATGTATATACAAGTATACAGACATATGTATATATAGACAAGTATATAAAAGGGAAGACTTGTACACCATCATGTAACATAAAAATAAAAACTTGTGCAGTGTGTCACTGAATATCATACTTGGTAAAATCCAACCGAGTTTAGCATGAGACTTAAATTCATCCCTGTGATTGACATATTGGCAACAATTGAGAACCAGAGAAGTTCCCAAAGAGGGACATGCTTTGATGCTGAAAGGCCTGTGGCACTGGAGACCATACCAACAAGTGCAGTAACGGCAAAGTGGAAACCGGTCAATGTTGTAGCTGCGTTAAGCAAAACATGAAGTATTAAGAGAGCTGTAGAGTTTGGTCTACCTTTCAAGCAGCATAAAAACATTTAAAAATCATAAAATAAATTTCACCATTAAATTATTATAAAAGAACTGATTATTAAATAAACAACTGCAAACAGATCAGTTAAGAATATGCAGGCAAGGCCCACAGACTTTAGATCATAGTAGCGTATTTCCTTCTTAAATCTAAACCTGAGCATGCCAATTGCATCAACCAAAATGGAACTGAGGCCATATTTGCAACCAAATTCACCAAAATAGATTGTTTGCAGGCTTTATGAACAGTTGAAATGGTAAATGTATATGGGCTAAATTTTCCTAACATTAACAAAATCGACAAATCCCGCAGTTCAAAAACTGATAAACACCTCAGGATCCAATCCTGAATAGATTACAGTAATCAATAAACTACTATCTAAAGTTGAAGGCAATCCAACAAAAAACATCTACAGGAAACATGAATTTTGAAATTAACACCCATCAAATTCAAAATTCAAAATTCAAAATTCAAAAGGCAAATTGACAAGGGGACGAGATCTGATAAAGCAGGGACTAACCAAAACTGAAAGCATAGCCGCTGGATGACATGAGTTGCTTGTTGGCCATAATGATTCCAACAGAACTGATAACATTCATTGCCCATGCGCCCACATCAGATACTGCCGATGATTTCTTCTCCGACTCCATTTCTCTCCCACTAATTCAACTATTACTCTACGTTTACTACAAAATTACAAAACAGCACTAAATTCTTGTTTAATAAAGTAAAAAATAAGCAAAGATACACCCCAAGAAAAAAAGTAATTGAACAGATCTCACACCTAATATGTATATGTTGCACCGACGAAAACAACTGATTGACAAAATTGAACAAGAGAGAGAGAGAAGACACTGAGTAAGACGAAGAAGACAACCGATTATGACGAAGAAATGAATCTAAAACATGGGATTTATTTCTTTTTCCGATTTAGAAATATATATTAAAAAAAAAAAAAAAATTCGAGCCTGCTTTGTTTGTCCTGTTTAAGGGGTGGTGGAATGTGGTTTGGCTTATTTATGCGAATGCGTAAGGATCGATATGGGGAGAAGCGAATGAGATACGTGAAATTCACATGAAAATGGCCAGACGTTTGAGATTTCACGCTTTTACTCTCTGTGCCTAGGTGGGTTTACTTTTATGCAAGTAATCTTGGATCCGGCATTGCCCATCTTCCTCGAACATGAAGTTGTATTCCTGATTTGATCCGCTGCCAATCAAATATTTTCTTTCTTTTACCAGAATCTTTTGTCCGTTAAGAAAAGTAATATTTCCTCCTTAAGATAAAGATACAGAGGTATAAGTTACTTTATTTGTTAAGAGTATAGTTAATATTTTAATATATCTTTATTTAAAGAGTTTTGTTATCAACAAATACAAAATTAATCTTATTTAGACCCGTTTGGAAAGGATTTTAAAAATTGATTTTTTTACTATTAGAAGAAAAGTGGGATCCACCTGCAAGAGAAGAAGTCAAAAATTACACTGAAATAACGAAATAACAATCAAAAAATCCCTCCCAAACAGGCTCTTAGATTATTATTTAATGTAAAGATATATTACAAAAAAAATAAGAAAAAATTATATTTTCTACTATATTAATTATATATTCTTAATCAGTTTGAAAATGAAAACAAGCATATTTTTGTGGGACGAGGAAAGTAATATGAATTTAGATCTAATAAAAAATAGTGTAAATTCACCCAATGGTCTACAACCTTTCTTAAGAGTAACATCCATATTCTAAACTTTGTAATGTTATGTGTACGGTTTTTCCACGTGAAGGAAAATATTTACATAAATGGTAAATAGCTACCCTATCTACACGATGTTTGAGTAAAAGGATGAAATTGTTCAAAATGAACAACATTTGTAATTTAAATGGTCATCGTTTCGCTTTTGGAAGAAATGAAATATTTTTTAGACAATCTTACTCTTTCAATCAGATATAATGTGCATGTTGCAAGGACATTTTATACTTTTTCAATCAGATATAATGTGTGTGTTGTAATGGCATTTGGTTTTGAATTGGAAGTTTTCTGTTAGGTAAAGATTTCACGCATTTTGTTAAAATCTTATGGACGTGACTGTACGAATAATAAATTGAGGATAGACTGCCAAACTTATGGAAAGTAAAGGGTCCCTAAAGTAATTATCGAAAGAAATACAAGGAAATAATGAAATTATTACTTTCCGATGCCACAATCAATATTTACCCTAATGAGAAACGGTGGAAAATATTACTTCTCATTTTTCTTATGGTGCGTTTGGTCCAATAATTTCCATGAATTTCTCATTTTTCTTAGGGTGCCACAATCAATATTTACCCTAATGAGAAACAGTGGAAAATATTACTTCTCATTTTCTTAGGGTGCATTTGGTTACCAATAATTTTCATAGAAAATGTGTTTTTTCCACCAAAATTCATATTTTTGTGATATTTGATTGTCATTTTTTCATGGAAAATATTTTCCTACTTTTGGTCATGTAACCATATTTTTCTAAAAATCAAGGAAAATATTTTCTTTAGGAGAGGTATGATTTTATTTTCCATGGAATTCACCCCCCTCCCCCCTCTCTCTCATCATCCACTCTTTCTTATTTACCCACAATAAAAAACAAACAAGTATAATATTTTCTAGGTTAAAAATTAAATCAATCAAACACTTTTAATTGACAATTTTCATGCAAATTAATTATAGACAATTGAATTATCTAAAATTTATTTTATTTCCATACTTGCAATTAAATGTACCATTAATGAATTGGAGGTTGAACACTATAGCGGGTCTTGATTATTTAATATACGGCACAACTAACTTCGTACTTTGTAAGTACTAAATTTTTTTTCAATTTTTGACGTTGACTTTTTTTTTTTAAAAAAAAATAAAATAAAAAAGAACTAATGTCAATTGCGTATAACAAATTTGTAACACAATTGCACAATAAACTCCTCGACCACCGAGCAAAAGGGATAGCATGTGGCCTAAGGCACATTAAAAGTTAATTTTTATAATTTTTTACCCCCCACTTTTTTGATAGTATTTGCACCGTAGAAAATATTTAAAATGAGGACATTGTCCAATAGAGTTGATATCTTTAGAAACATAAGGTACTTATATTTATAGTGACAGTTAATGAAATACAAACGTACCAAGGATAGTTGAATTAATTATTTTCTTCAAATTTGCAATGGGTTGAATCCTGTATGTGTTGACCTCGAAAATTGGACCCTTCATGTGGCCAACCGATAGCCACTCCATGTATCCTCCTTGTGCACAATCAACGCACGGTCAGATGCACACGGTCGGAACCAGCGGGGGTAGCGGTGACCGTATACATTCCGACGGTCAAGTTAAGCTCAGGTGATCGGAACAGTACCAAGGTTATGCAAAATAGTAGGGAGGAGAATGTATGTTTACTTGCTATGGAGTGCTAAGTAGAAAGAGTTTCATTACTTTTGTCTCTTGCCAAACCTTGAGTATTTATAGGTGAGGAGATCCGTTGGATGTGAAACACGTGTATACATTTGAACGGTATGAGGCGTCAATCAGCCGCGTCTGTAGAGTGGGCGGGTAGTTACTTCTCCCGAGTTGAGTTGACATAAAGTTGATAGGTCACATCAACTAGCCTCATGGAAATGTCAAATCACTTTAAACCTCAGGGACAGAAAAGATCTTGTCAAAGATCTCATTCTGAAATCGGTTATGGATCCTCAGGCCGAGGTCCACGGGGATCATTTCGCCTCGGATTTAGGGGGATAGAGCGCTTCAATCAGTTTTTTCAGAATTACCCCTATCTCGTAGTGTGATAGCAGATCATCTCAATTGGAACTACTTAGGGGAACCACTTCGTATGAGCGTTCCATACCTCGCCTCATGTGAGTTCAGTTCGGGGTGCAACAGTATGTACTATGTAATGAATAACTACATCAAAGCCTTGATAGCTAATTCAATCATTCACTACATTCATTTAGATTTTAATTGTTAGTTCGTATTAATTTTGAAGTATCGTAACTTATACATTACTAAAATATAATTTTTATATCATTAATAGTTATACAATGTTATATATAAGTTTTAATTTAAGGTGCGTTTAATTACAACTATGGAATTTATATGGAAAGAAAATAAATTTTAGATAATTCAATTGTTTAGAACTTATTTTTAGAGAAATTAGTAATTAAATGTGTTCGATTGATTAGTTTTCAACCTAGAAAATATTATACTTATCCATTTTTTATTGGAGGGTAGATAAGAGAAAGTAGATAGATAAGAAAGAGAAAGAGAGTGAATTTCACCTCTCCCTAAAGAAAACATTTTTTCCTTGTTTCTGAAAAAAATATGGTCACGTGACCAAAAGTTAGAGAATATTTTTCATGAATAAAATTGTCAATCAAACACCTTAAAAGTAGGAATTTTGATTAAAAATAACATTTTTCATAAAAAAAAAAAAAAAGCCAATCGAACACACTCTTATTGATATTCAAATAGCGTAAAACTAATAACATATTAACTATTTTCTAGTTTAGATTTAAAATAATGCGTATTTTGATAGGTACCATAAATTGTTATCCTACTCTCGACGGGCATATTAAATATTTAAACAAAATTAATAAAAAAAAAGTAATATTTCACATAGCATAGCATGGAGTAATGTTTATTTGCTAGAAGTTCATTGTATTAAAAGGGCATAGTTGAAAAATAAAAGAAATGAGATTCCAACTTCGTTACTTTTCATTTTAACCTATTTTGGTATATACAATTTGAGGATGACTAGTAAAAGTTGATCCCTCTAAAAGTAAACTTTTGTAAACTTCTAGGAAATTAGGGTGATAATTTCCTGGTACATTGGACAAACCAAATAATTCTCTCTTGTGCTTCATTTTTTTTTTTAAATGTTTGTTTATTTATTATTCGTGTCAATAAATATTTTCATTTCTATGGCCTTAATATATAATCTACGAGCAGAGAATGAGCATGGATATAGAGATGTTTTAAAAAAAAAAAAAAAAAAAAACACTTAGTTAACTATTCGAGGTTGGGGGTACATTATGGCGATAACTCACTAAAAATTGTAGCATGTCGATCTCCCTATGAGATGAAGTAACTTGCTATGCTGGAAAAAGGAATTTTAAAGTTTGACATACTATATTCTATGAGAGAAGGAAAGATGTTCTAGTTTCTTGAAACTAATACATTATGCTCACGGGTGGATCTAGGACTTTGACTCAATTAGAATGGTCGTTGATCGTCAATATTGACCGTTGACAGTTAATGACTGTATAGCGATGTCGTTTATTAATATTAAATTAAATACTATTAAAAATTCTTCGATCTATATATAAATACACTAAAACGTAAAAATTGCATGTTTATATCAAATTATAGCTCAATACAATCCAAAATAATATAAAATACATGATAGATGAGACTTCTTTGTGTTATCAATGCTTAACAAATTGTTTGCTCGAGTGAAAGCGGTTGTGGGATTAGATGCACCACTATAAGAACTAGGTTGTGATTTTCATTTCGGTTGAAAAAGTTAATTCCATAATAAGTAATAGAATTGAACATTAATCAAAGATTAAACGTAATTAAAATTAATTTTAAAATATAATCAAAGTTTTAATTTCAAATTCCCAATACCGATTTATCACAAATTATAAATTCTCCAATTTCTGATTTTCAATTTTCATAAATCACATATTCACATTTTATAATACTTAAATTAATTTCTAATATCACAATTCACAGTTGATATATTCTCAAATAACACATAAATCAAAACTCAATACTCACAAGTCGCATCAAATAAAGTATCAAAGTATAAAATACTTAAAACAACAAAAACCAACAAAGATAATAGTCATTGACTCGCCTAGAGTCTTGCCTGCAGAATTGAAGGCAGAGGGGTCAGAGTGCAAGTGGTCATTGTCGATGCAATCTGTTGCAGTGGCCAAAGAAGTCGCGTCACGATCAGATGAAGGGGATGAGCGTGGAGGTAGGGGGATCGTTTTGATTTTTTGGTAGTTTTAGTAATTTCCTCATATGGGAAAAATTTATAACTCGGATATTAACTATGGGCATTTCAACTTTTAGGTTTAATGTTTCAAAATTCAAAATTCCGATGATAAATAAATAATTAAAAATATTTTATTAATTAAATATATTAAAGTCATAATTATACAATTAATGATCACAAATACATACTTATGGGTCACAACTTATTTAT